ACATATTCCCTATTTTATATTCTCTCTCTCTTTCCTTTGCCTTAATTATTTTCTCTTCTTTCATCCACGAGGATCACCTTTACCTCAAACCTAAGAAGAAAAGGTCATAAGAATTTTCCACCAAAAACCTATTTATAGATAAACAATTAAGCACAGCTGATTTGCTGATTGTTTCAATAAGCTTTAGAATATCTTTACGATTGTATCTAATCATTCAACAACTAACGCATTTTTCCTGAGAGGGACAAGCTTAAGACCATCTCTCAAGTGTTGGGTTTCAGCATTTAAAAGTCATACTCAGTTTATACTTGAGTAAATAAGGTATTTTCATTTGGTGACAACAGTAGGCCTACTCAAGAAATCTTAGTTGCCTTAAGCCTTTCTACCCTTGTACCTATTTTGTCTGTAATTATTACCAGTAATCTAATTGCAAAAGATGTGTAAAATAAAACACGATGCTATTAAACTGCAGTTCATATATATGATATTCATCTATTCACAGTTGTTCAAAAGAAAAACACTGTGAGAGAAACAGTAGTCTGGAGGTCAGGTGCCCAGAACTCTGGGTCTATAGGTCCATTGTGTCATTGTAAAGACACTTTACTCTCACATTGCCTTTAGGACGTCTAAAATGGGTACTGGGAAAATGTCAAGGAAAGCTCTGACAGAGTGCTAAGGCAGCCTGAGCTCTTGCAGAACAGGCAATCTGACTTACAAGCTGACTTAGCCCTATTTTACCCACTTGAAATCTTGCGCCACCTTATAAACATACATTTTCTGCATGAAAGGTTTTTCATACAGCTGAAGTTGCACCTCTGATATTGTTATTAAGTAAACATTCTCTTCAAAAAAATTTTTAAACCTTGAAAGTGAATATTACAAATATTTTGCTACCCATATATTGAACAGCAGGTTGTACAATCCCCACCAAAACTCAGTGTACCTTCATTTTCAGAAGTTCTATTCCAATTCTCTTTGTCAATTTTCAGAAAAATATGTTAATTGAAAAAAAAAAAATTGAGATTTCCATTTGAACTTAAATTTTGATTTAATCACTGGTAATCAAAGGTACATACCTTAATAGCCCAATAGCCATTGTTACTCTGTTAAGTCTCACCTGATAATATTTCAAAGGTAGAATGCCAGTTGCTAGCCTCAAGAAAAGATTTCTACTGTGTCCAGAGAAAGCTGAATTTGAGAATGATCTCCATTCCTGTTCTGAAGGAAAAAAATGAAGAGAAAATAAATATGAAAAGGCATAACAAAATGGCTAAAACAAAGACTTAGGGTGCAACCTCATGAAATTAACTCCTCAAGGAATGATGAATGACAAGGCAAATGTTTTCAAGTCATGGGCAACAGAGGTAAATTCACTCTGCACAAAAATGGACTTATATTTTTGAAAGAGGGAAATTCTAGTATTTTATCAACTGTCACCATCCATTCATTTCAGGAAATAGAAGGTATTGTTTAAAATTGAGCCATGGTATTGACATCTTATGACTTATATAGTTAAATAGACCTTCCTAAAAAATGGCAGCTCAAAATAGACACCAACAAATACAACTGCAAGAAAAATTGATACATAGTTCCACTCAACCAATGCTTAGTGTTTTTGCTGAGAAATGAAATCTAAAACTTTGTCATGCCTCTAAGGTCATGCCTCTAATGAGAAAACTGTTGTTGAAAAAAAACAAATGTCAGACTGTGTTTCTTTCAATAGCAAAAGTACTGCTGAAATAAAATTTGCTGTATGTACAGAATATATAAGGACTAATTGTACCTTGCTGCTGTGCAGAATCTTTTTTTTTGTAATATAAATTTTAAATTCTGTTTGTTATTTGGAGAAGGACCTATCCAAACCTGGCTGCACAGTGACGTTAGTAGGTTCTAAGTTCCATACATGATGCATGTGGATTCTCTAGCTATTCTTGGCTATGAGCGTTTTAGTATTTGGTAATTATAACACCATTGTATGATCTGATGAGCATTTCAGAGCATTTGGTCAAGATGGTTTGAATTTACTGAGTTTCAAGTAAAATCACTGAAATAATTCATTGAGGTTTGATAGAACAAGAAAATGAGTGTGTAGCTATGAGAGTGTGTTAGGAACAGCATATTATAACGATAGGGAGTTTGCAGCATCCAGAACCAAAATTAGGACTACTTTCAGTAGAATCTGCTGCCTACTGATGGAGAAAGTCCTCTTTTCATTCCTGATGTAAAACTGGACAAATTAAATGACATCATGAGTTGTCTAATTTGCATTGACCCAGATATTTCAAAATGGAAAAATAGTTTTCAAGCTTTCATGGAAGTCTCTACAACAACCCCTTAAATTTCAAGAGATGAATATTTTTATCATAATATCACTTCTCAAAAGCCATTTAGTATTCAGACTGCAGACCACAGTTCAGTCTGGATATTAAGTAATGACCATTATGTGTACATGTCAGACTTATGTTATGAACTTGAATCAAATTATTGCTAGATACTTACTTAAGAGTACCCAAAAAGTACCCAAAATATCTCAGCCAGTTGTAGAACTTAAAAACTCGGTAATACAATATAAAAGTAGGCAGTAACTAGCAGTAGCAACAAGGCGCCATATTGCTTAGGAGAAACTGAAGCTTACCTCGACTCTGTATGCGCAGCACGTGGGCTGTGTGTGTGAACGACAATCGTTATTTCCTCTATTTCTGTATTTTGCAGCCATCGAATATATTTGGCAAAATTTCCGCACAGCCCCATACATCATTATACATCCATATATGGGGCTTTATTATTCAGTGTATCACCAGTAAGATGTACATGCATAATTAAGTATGGGGCTGTGCGGAAATTTTTCCATATATTTTTCTACGGTTCTGCTGTAATCAAACCGGGACACAATTTCTAATTCTCCCAAATTCCTCCAATCTTTCGCCGCCATGTTGAAATTTGTAAGTAGTTCTCAGTTTCTCTCTTTCATCATGAAAGGGGGACGAGATGGACGAGGCGAGGACTGTGAATAAAATTCGTTTCATGTGACGTGACCAGTATAACTCAAATCCTCTTGCGAATCTCTTTTAACTGCTACCTAAAAAGTATTTGCAACAGGGTTTCTTTGTCAACACACACCTTCAGTCACCTAGAAAAACCTAGTACTTTCACGATTCTATTTAGTGCCTGGGGCGTCTATTTACTCATGGTACCTCCAAGGGCCATTACTAAGGCCTCTGATACCTCCTAATGAGGACGCTTATTCTGAACAGGCCGCTTATTAGGGACAGGGGGCTTATTTCATTTTTTGAAAAACAGCAGAATGTGCTATAAACGCTTTGATGTTTATTTAAAAAGGAACAATATCAGAAACTATGAGAGTAACAAATGTACAGATAATAATGATAGGGAATGTACTCTAGCGTCGCTATCAGTGAAACAGAATAGGGGCGCTTATCGTAAGGAGAGTGCTTGCGCAATAGGGTGCTTACTTACAAATACAAGTTCGAGGGGGCGCTTATTAGAGCGAGGGCGCTAAACTGAATCATTACGGTAGCTTCTGGACTCCACAAATTTTTAGTCAGTAAGGAGCATTTCGAAAAGGATCAGATATTGTTCGCAGAGAAAACAGAAAAAACACTTCGTTCTTCTTCTCCTGAATTGTAACGTTTCCTTTTCCTTTTTCCTCCTTTTAAACTCGAACTTATCATTTGGACGCAGAAGCAACCAGACAATGATATGACAAGTGTTTCGCACCTGAAAATTATTACTTTCTCGTGTGTCGGAAAATAGCTTGCAAACTTGCGCTGAATAACAAAGGATTAATGAAAGTTCTGTATTATACCGAGTTCCCAGTGGAACGATTGAATACATTAAACTTTCTGAGGTTGAAATGGTGGTAGAGTTGCCGCTGGTCAAAGATACTTAAACTGAACTGGTGCAAATTTGGACGATTACAAATTGCTGGTTCACGATGTGTCTTGGAGATTATGGTTGATTCATTTTCAACGTTCTTAATGATCTTCATTTACTTTGATCTAAGTCTATGCGGCCCTGGGAAAGAAAATAGTAAGTATAATAGAGGAAAGACGTGTATTAGATGGTAATCTAACAAGGAGCGATTCACGATTCAAAAGTCATGGTCGAAGCAGATGCAATCTGGAATTTATAGCTAAAATTGTTAATCGTAGCACTTGCTCTAGCAGCATACAAATACTTTTTGGTCAAGATAGCGTAAATGTGATCTTGAGTTAGATGTATTTATTGTTTAATAACGTTTTATGAAAGTGGCATTTAAGTCTGTTCAACTGCTTTAGGCCGCTTAACAAGGCTCGTCTGTCAGCCTAGTTTAGTTGCTAGGTGACGATATAGGTCGCAGTTTGGGGCACTGGGTCGAGTCGGAAATTGAACGATTTGCTCTTGTACTGACAAAAGTTGAATGTCTGCTCGTATTATGTTAGAAGACTCAGAAATATTTAGAAACCTGAAAATAATTGGCAAAACTTCGTTGAACCAAAGAAGCCTCTGCTTGGAGTCTCATTCAAGTAAAGGGAAGAGTACCAATACTCAATTGCCTCGGTTAATATCCCCTCGGGGAAGGCGTGGTTTCCGTCAACATGATGAACAATAATGGAGTTGGACTCCACATTGGAAGGTCTGAATTCAAACCCCCGTATCATTGTGTTGTATTCCTGGCTAAAACACCTCTATTTTCACAGTGTCAAATCCACCAGGGATTTTGAAAAGGAACTTGTGATATGTTAGGGAAAGCGCTGTCGCAGTGCTAGGTAGGATGGATTGGCATCTCAACCAAGAAGAAAGACAAAATTACCCATGTCCTCATGCTACAAAGCTATGCGAGTTAGTCTCGCACAGTTTCGTGTCCAGCCTCATGGGGGTTCTTTTTTAGCACCTTTGAAGCGTACCTTATTTTCAAAGGCCAAAATGAGTTGATCAAGAGCATAGAATATTCTCTTGATTTGATATCATTCTTACTAGTTTTTCAAAATTTTTCAACAGATCACGACGAATTTTCCAATTCAGTAAAGTACGACTGTTTCTCAAACAGTATCGCTATTTCGCTGACCAAGAATCGGCTCTCAAACTTCAATCACGCTTTATTTCACCTAAACAACGAATCTTGCACAGGACAGCAGATTAACACAACGCACATCAGATTACAAACTGAACTGAATGACTGTGGAACGCTCAAGCAAATTCTCAGAAATGGCTCAGTTATCTATACAAATCGAGTCTATGGATACATCAAGGGACAAAAAAATAAACCAGGGAGTGCTTCTAAAACATATAAAGTTAAATGTGTGAAACCGCACGATGCATCAGAAAGGAATGTATCCACCTTGAAGTATGATAGCGTTGTGCCAAACTTCAGCACCCAAGACAGCACTCTTTTTCAAGTTGGACATCACCACAAAGCTTTTTCGTTACAAAAAAGAAATGGTAAGTTCTGTCCACGACCTCTTCATTAATATTGCGGCAGTCATTCATATATTAATGAAGTAGGAGAAACTCTCAAAATCAAAGTATATCTCTTAAATGCACAAGTTAATACTAGGGAAAAATTTTCGATTGAGTGTTCAAAGTAATCCAAAATTCATTGTCTTACTTCACTCGGCCGTATTTTGTCTGGAAAAATCTTGACCCGATCTTCCAACCAGTTAGATACAAAACCAACAATGAACGACCCGCGTTTTCTCGTGTTTCAGGCAGCTTGCTTGCTTCATTTTGTCGGTTTGTCTCTTGTGTTCGTTTTAGCTCCATTGACATTTTGGTTTTTTTGCACCGATCAGCAATTGAAATCACATTGGTGTACCTTAGTCCATCTCGGTTTGCCTCACAACACCAAATGCTTGTTCCGCGGCGTGCGCGTAATAAAATTCATTGACGCTTTCATTGTCCGTTTGGTCCTATTCCTGTCCTTCATATATTGACTTTAGCTTTTCTTTTTCGTTTTTTTTTCTTTAATTTCATTCAGTAAGCCACTCTGATCCTCCTTTACCGATAACATACAAGACTAAGGAGATTGTACAAAATGGCGACGAAGTCAAGCTGACGGCCGAGTTCTCGTCAAATCATCATGGAAAGAAAAATGGCGTTCACTTTATTGGAGTGGCAGTGGAAAACTGCCACACTTCCTCTGACGACAACTCCAGCAGTACGGATGGCACCACGCTTATAGAGAATGGGTAAAACTGCCATGCACTTAAGGCCAACTGTTCGCGCTCTACATGCATTTTTTATTTCAGCCTGCCGAAGTCTCAGCTGAAACAATAACGAATGGGCTGGGTATACAAAATTAATTACGCATAAGTGCCCCTAAAACAAGAAATTTATAGCGCTTTTCTACGTGATGTTTTTTTCAGTCAGTTATATTTGTATTTTTTGACTATTTATAGCTGTGTGTCAGCACCACGCCTGTGTGGTTACTTCTTCCAGCAAAAGTCTTCGTCCCAGACAATCACATACAGATTGTCTAGCTCCAAACACAAGAAAAAAGGAACGGTGTACATCCAGTGCAGATTCATCCTCTGTCAGCTAAATGACACAGAGCCTTTGTGCATTTTTGGCTGCAGACCAAACAGGAAATTAAAGGTGAACGAGACCCGCAGCGTTACGGTCAAAGTAGGACCTTTTTCCGCAAAAGAAGCCGCACTCGCAGTTGAAAGAAAAGGTTAGTTAACGAACTATATGCAATCATATGGCAGCTATGATTAACTACACTATTGCAGTGGTTTTGAAATATTTTACGCGACAGCAAGACTGTGGAATAATTTCATTCAAAGACTTCTTTCAACTCGTCCTCCTTTCTAGTCCGTGCAGTGTTTTTACAGGTTTTTTAGTGCCTGTTTTTTAACTCCCACAAATGGCCAAGAAAGAATTTCCCTTATCAATACCAGTACAAAATCATTCAAGCAGACAAGTGATGAGAATGAAGAAAAATATCAATTAGGGCATTATGAGGTGATTCAATACCAAGCTCTTAGATCTAAAATCATGAGAATTGTATTGTAAACAGTAGGGAGAATTTCAAATGAGATCTTGTGAGTGAAATGAAACTTTTGTTGTCCTACTCGCTTGGCGCGCAGAGACGTGATTCAATTCTCAGTCAGGTTGAAAAATAAGTCAGTAGCCCTTCTCTCACCGAGTTTTCCAGAGTACGCAATACTTACCTCTTTCCAATATGTTTTATGCTCAAAGTATTGTGCATGCAATTAATGTTCTGAATGCTGCTACATTAAGTATACTTTTCGCTTTTTGTTTAACTTCCAGTTTCACTCATATTGCCAATTGTAATTGGGCTTCTTGTCCTCGTCGCTGCGGGTGTCTTCCTTTTCATTTGGAAGCGGCACCAAAGAAAGAGTCGCAAAGACAATTTAATATCTAACGAAGAAGGACTGACCGAAAGTGAGAGAGGATTCGATCTCAGCGATACCTCATTATTCGACGGAAATGAATCGCTGGAGGCTCCAATTCAAGATGAACTGGATAGCTACGCAGCAATTGAAGGAAGAAAATTGTTTCTTAACATGGATTGGACCACTGTTTAGCTTTTTGTGGGAAACACCGTAGATTTGCTATTCTGAATAAAATAGGTTGGATCTCATTATGAATAATGGTGCAATGTACCATCACTTCAAAGAGAGGATGTACTACCGAACTTCAGTATAGCCGGACAAATAATTTAGTCATAGATTCAAAATTTAGTTAGGATTGAACACTGTAATTGTTAAGAGTATGAAGATAATTTCCCATAAATTGTAGACCGTTGGTAAATCTGACTGATTATGAAAACCGGCATAAAATCAAAAATGAAAACAAAAGAGGACTGTGCGACTGCGTTCGATCGATCTTTTGTTTTCTTCATCCTGGGTCGTGTGTTGATGGGAATATTCATCGGGTCAGTCAGCTCAAAATGATACTATCAATTGTTGTGTGCGGTAAAAAATTACACACAAAAACTAACAAAACCATGTGATCAATAAATTTTTCAGGTTTAATTTTCTTATCAGTCACCTATACCAACAATAGTTCCATTGAAAACCACCTAAGGTGGGTGGGGGTTTCCACATAGCAATAAGAATGCCAATTATTTGTCGTACGTACGATTTACAGACTGTTATGCCACGTAACCTTTTTAATGATCATATGAAGTTTTTTTTTCACAATTTTTAACTGATTGCAATTTCGTAATAAAATTAGTTCGCAAATCACCATATGAACAATGAGGATTGAAAATTATTTGTCTGTCTCTTCACAACAGTACTCACGCCGTGTGCGTGCAGTCATTTTCGCCCGAGTTTTGGTGAGAAAATACCCCAAGTGCTACACTGATAACGGACCATAAGAAGGATAAAAAAAGAGCCTCTTTCCTTAATTTTGCAAAATTCCGCAAGGAGAAAGCCAAGAGGGAATAATTAATCGGCTTTAACCCAGATCTCTCTCTTCTTTGACCAGACAATCGTAGAGGATCTGGGACTGAAACTAGATTAAAATGGCGGCCGATGATTACTTGAACGAAATGCGACGATACTTTGAAAATAATAACCGCACAAAGGACTTCGTTGCTCACACAGCCAAGGTTTGATAAAAGAAGACTTTTTATCTTTTATCTAGTGATATCTGGTATAGAGATCTTTAGAGATCTACTTTAACTCGAAATTCGATCTTTTGTAAGAAATTGACAACTATTAGTTCGATTTGTCATTTTGCACGACTTTACTTTAGGTTCATTCAGTTGCATGGAGCTCCGATGGTAGAAGACTCGCATCAGGATCTTTTGATAGAACTGTTAGCATTTTCGTCTTGGAAAAAGATCGATTGGTAAGCAGTAATTCTGTAATGTGCCTCTTTATATTACTTTGTGTAATCATAACGTGATCAGTTTTCACGAAACAGACGCACTCACTCCATTGACTGAAAACGAACTTCTCACCTGGCTCTGACAATTTTTTTCCCGTTCAGGGATCTAATTTTTTCTTACACTACCACCCCTGGATCATACATTAAGGTCACAAGAAGAACTGAAATAATCACCGACTTAAGAAGCTCTCGATTGTTAAACAAATTCTCCTTGTCAGTATTGTAGGAAATGTGTAAAGAACGGTACGGAGGATATGCAAACTGATGTTAGGGTGTAAGGGGTTAATGCATATTTACTGGTTTGACTTGATTAGTCATATTCTGTTTTAGACAAAAGAAACAACCTTCAAAGGTCATGGTGAGAGTGTTGATCAGCTCTGTTGGCACCCCAGCAATCCAGATCTCCTTGTTACAGCATCAGGAGACAAAACTATCCGAGTATGGGATGCTAGAGGTAAATAACCTATAACACCTCTGTTTCTGGGTTTTTGTCTAGTAATCTTCTAAATCATACCAATGGTCAGATCAAAACAGCAGATGCAAGGGTGCACTCCATGTAACATAACTTCAACTCCAAATATACCACAAAAATTTTTAGAAATTTTAATCCTCACAAAGTACTTGGCCAACTGCAAAGCCAGGCCAACTGCCATGTATGATGGTTGTATCTTATTGCCACATTGCTCCATAAGAGAAGCCAGAGGGAGAGAGATTTGAAGTCTTTGGAAAACACTCTTTTTTGGCATCACAACAAATTTCTTGAATTATTAAAACAGAAGGACAGCTATGTCAAAGCTGAATGAGTTATGTAAAAATCTGTTCACATTAGTCACATTCCCATTTTGATGGCTTTGCCATTTTACACCTGTTGTTATGCTTGTCACTCTCTGTATACTCAGAAATTGTATCCCAGGCCAGTATGTGAGAAAGTTTTAAAATTCAGGCTGGTTATTGTCAGCATCAATGTCCTACACTTGATGCAACTTGGTTGTGAAAACTAGCCTTTAGGCGGCAACAAAATTGTTGACACATAGATCTTTTCCAACCCCCTATTCAATTTTATCTCTTTTGCCCTTGTTAAGTGAACTTATGAGCCCTCTTCCCCCTCTAAAAACAATGAAAATTTAGCCAACATTGAATGGGGTAGTGAAGAAAGGTTATTGTTGAAAAATATTGACCCTCTGAAAGGTGTAATACAAAATGCTATAGTTGTCATATTTTAATTTACAGCCACCAAGTGTGTATCAGTAGTAAATACCAAAGGAGAGAATATAAATATTTGTTGGAGTCCAGATGGGAACACAATAGCAGTGGGAAATAAGGTATTACAGTTTGTAATAAAATAATTATACACCAAGGCTGTCCCACCACTCATGATTAATTGGTATTGATGGTGCAACATTTGCCACTCCAGTTTTAGACACCTGTATGAAGGCAGTACAATGGTGTGGTAAGGCTGCTGGAGTCATAATCTAGTGATTGTTGATTCATTTTGTGTTCCCAAGTTCAAATCTTTGGCTGTTCCCTTTTCCATATCCAGCTGGTCTAAACCCCAACAACTAGGATGGTATTTAACTTCATGCATGTCTTTTTTGAAAAACTTGTTTCTTTGCTTACTTACAGTGATCCTGATCAGCACCTTTGGGGGGAGTCATAAATTCAGTGTTAATTTTTTGTTGTCCTCGTCTGGAAAAATAATCCCTTTAGGGAAGGAAACTGCTTTTAAAGCTTGTTTTAAGTTTATCAAAATTGTCATAAATGTAATTTTTTTAACCACTCTTGTCCCTAGGAAGACCTTATTACATTTATTGATGCAAGAACATTCAAAGCAAGGTGCGATGAACAATTTAAATTTGAGGTGAGATTTTTGAATATTGAGCCCTAATTTTTAAAATTGAAAAAAAAAGAAAAAAAAAAAAAAAAACAGGTATTCTGATTTTCAGTTTTTCTTTGATCTAATTTCTGTGAATATTGTTAAACACAGGAAATAGAACACTTAGGTTTCTATTTCACACTCTTCATTGTTGTTCATAATAACTAACAAATATTTTCTTTTGAAATTTTATTTCAGGTTAATGAAATATCATGGAACAACACCAATGATCAATTTTTTCTCACTAATGGTCATGGGTGTATAAATATATTAAGGTAAATGGTGATGATGCTGCTGGTAACAACTCCATAAATCAATTAACGCTGCCCTTGAATTAACACGACCCCCAATCAGAAAATTGGAGCATTTATCTGATTATCTAAAAATCTAAATTTCCAAGTGTTGTACTAATTGGTAATCTACACCATGAGGTGGTAGTTGTGCAAAAAAAGAAATTAATGCATCCATTTAAGGCATCCAGCAGGGGGCAATATGTTTTTTTTAATGTTATTTTTGTTGGTAAATAGAAGGGTTATGTTTATTATTATTGTTTAAAACAATAATAATGCAGCACAAAATTAAATGATTAACTACATTACTTAGACGGTTAAAGTATGGCCCCTCATACACATGTTCAAATGAACCCACCTCACTTCTTAGGCCTTCTTTGTTAATCTGTTAAAGAAAAGATGAAAAAACTTTCTAGATGAGGGATTTTGAGATCATTACTGTAGACGCATATCTAGAGCAATTTTCAAATGGGTGTAGAGTGATTCAGAATTGCATTAGTTTTGCTTAACTTTGCTTTGTGATTGGTCTAGAAAAGACCCCCAACCTCTCAACCAATCAGATGCCAAAACTAAAACTAATCATGATGTGGTCACGTACATTTTCCCGCGCGTTAAGTAGTTTGTGTGTTTTTATTGTGATATTTGTCTTTGGTCTGATTGGCCATTTTGACTGCTTTGTTTATGTTTTTATGACATTCAATCCAAAAGCCATCTAAAGCCTGAACTCTATTTTCTTTAGTTATCCTGAGTTAAAACCACTGCAAACATTACACGCTCATCCTGCCAACTGTATATGTATAAAGTTTGATCCTAAAGGAAGGTGAGTGAAGCTTCACCTAGAGAAAAATAGAATCTACAAAGTAGGGCCAGGTAACGTACAACATTTTGTAACAACACTGTGTTGTGAATGAAAGACGAAACTTAGCTACCGTTAAATTTGGCATCACTTCATTATGGTGCATGATGTGATTAAGGTATGTGTCTTTAAATAATGCCTCCTATGAAAATCTTTAACTTGTTTTATGGAAGTCGGAATCCTCGTTATGCTTATTAATAATAAGGCCATCTACGTAGACAAACAAAGCGGTATGTTTTATAAAAAACTACGCATGTGCAATGCATTCAACTGAAAAAATTATGTAATAACCTGTGACTTTTGCTCTGAATCTTTCACAGATACTTTGCTACTGGAAGTGCCGATGCTTTAGTAAGTTTGTGGGATCTGGATGAGCTGGTTTGTGTTAGAACATTCTCGAGATTAGAGTGAGTAACAACGCTAGAATTATTATCAATTGAGTGTCTTTTAATTAGTAACTCGGAATTGCGTTGGTTTGCACCATGACGCTCTGTGATTGGTCCAGGAAACTCGAGCTACCCTCTCGACCAATCGGATGCAAAATTAAAACCAATCGCGACTTGGTCTTCTGCATTTTCCCGCGCTTTAGACTGGTTGTTTTTTCTTTAAATACTGATTGGCTTCTTGTCGTTTTTACTGACTATCTTTCGTTATGCGGCTGCTGCGGCCGCTTTATGCACGATAGTGCGTTCATGATTGGCATTTTAAAACCCTATAGAGATATGAATCATATTTGTTACGAGCATGGATTCCTGAGTTCCCCGTGAACATTCGAATTGAGGCCAGTTCCGATATCCCTTCCAACAAGCAAGGGAGAGCCCACTTGCTACGCTCACCTGATCAGCTATGTTGAAAGAGACGTATGTGTGGGAGTCAAGAGACTGAGAAAGACGGTAAATTTTGAGCTCGGCCTCGTCGAAGCGTAGATCTTGTATTCAGGCTTTTTTCTCGATTTCTCATGTATCTATATAATCCTCTATCGTTACTGATTTAAGCTTCCATGATAAGTCCCAATGTGGCATATCAGGTCTTTCACCGAAACCTTGTTCGTAGACTGTATCTTTAACACGGAGGATTAAATTCTATCTTAATTCTTTGTGTTTCAGCTGGCCTGTAAGAACGCTCAGTTTTAGTCACGATGGAGGGATGCTAGCGTCAGGTTCTGAGGATCTCATTATTGACATAGTGGGTGTTGAGGATCAGATTGTTCTTTTGGCTTGATGTTTTGCCTCTTTCCTTCCCACCAGTTTATCATACTTATCTGAACAACATTTTCACACCGTATTGGAACCGCTAGACAGCCTTACCTTCTAGTGTAACACTGCATATTTTTTTCCAGGCGATGGTTGAGACAGGAGAGAGGATATGTGAAGTACAATGCAATGCTCCAACATTTACAGTAGCCTGGCATCCTCAGAAACCTCTTTTGGCATTTGCCTGTGACGATAAGGTGAATTAGTCCTACAGTTGAAAAGGATCTTTAAGCGCTCTACTACTCTGTTGCGCACCATTTCAGTTGTGGAATCTCCCCTCCCCTCTTTCCCCCCTTTCACGTAAGGTTTGAAACTGAATTTTTGGACAAAACTTTCTTTTGAATTAATTGGTGTAATAAAAGAGATAGAAACTTTAGTTTCCTTTTTTGGTAAATTTGGACAATTTGTCTTTGTGTGCTATCTTTATAATCGCCTGAATAAGATTTTAACGTCTTCGTCAATCTCTTTCTCCTAATTTCACAAACTTGGACTGGAAAATGGCATTTCCTTGCCTCAGTGGCCATATTTTGAGAATAATTTAATTTTGATAGTTCTATTGTCATCTTTGTGGGATTTAAGCCTTTAAACATTGCATAGAAAAGTGGATTGACCAATCAGATTACGTGTACCATGCACAGTTGTGTTGTAATCGTTAAACCTATCCTTTCGCTCTCATTTTGCCGATGCTTTGGCACAACGTATTAAAACTGTATGATTCAAATTTATATACGTGGTCTGATATCTGTTTTATTTCATAGCAAAATATAATAAAAATTTTTCAATTTTTCTTTCAGGACAAACACGATCGCGATGCAGGCACTGTCCGTCTGTTTGGATTACCCACCAACTCCTCTTAGGGTGCATTTCGACTGAGTGTCGTAAAGTGAAAACCAAATATGTACAACAGCCAATCAGAACATAGGATACTATTCCAAGAGCCAATTAGAAACGAAAGTAAATACAAGCGAATGCCTGAAGCGCGGGAAAACGCTAGTGACGATTGGTTTTAGTTTTGAATCTGATTGGTTGAGAAAGTGGCGCGAATATTTTGGACCAGTTACAGAGCGAAGAGAAGCAAAAAAAGCAATCCCAGATTTACTTGCGACACTGGATTGAAAATTGCTCCTGGTCAAATAATACATTAGTGAAATGGAACTTACGTGCAAACGCTCTTAACTTGTTTGAAACAATTTCTAAACGGTTAAGAAAAGATGAGAGGATGTATCCTCTCTTAGTTATGTTGTTATGTATATCTGTGCTTTTTTTATAGCCATTTGATTATTGCGAATCGCCGTGCATTTGTGAAATACACTGTTGAATGATATTATTAAATATCTCATGTCGGAAATTTGAGGAATCTTATTTGATTGTAATCATTTTATACTCGGTGTATTTTCTCTATTAATTATCTTCCCGAGAAAAAAGAGTAAAAGAAAAACGGACGAGTGGAATTTCTTACATGAAAGTCTGATTGGCCGTTTTTATGCTAGAGACGTTAAAGTTGTCTAAGACGTTAAAGTCGTCTCGAGACGACTTTAACGTCTTAGACAACTTTAACGTCTCTAGCATAAAAACGGCCATTTGTTAGTAATTTAGTCAGTCAGTCAATTTTGAAATTCTAGTTACTATTTGTGTGACTGCGGTTCTGACTGAGGTAAACTCTGAAGGATGGTGGAACGCTGTAAAAACACACATAGAAAACTTAGAATCGCACTTCTCTGATTTTGTTCGTTTTTTGGCCTTTTTTTCTCCAAACGTTCAAAATATTTAGCTTGAAATTTTTTTATGGAACAGCAAAGAATGTCAGACATTTCAAATGGAGCCAGCTTCATATCATAAATAGATGACCTCATGGATGACAAGGGTATCCGTACCATGGAAATTAATTTAAAGCTGGAAAGCTGTCTTATTGTTTTGTGTGCAGCTTTCTCGCGTCAACGCAAGTAGAAACACTGTCTCAGGATCAGAAGGTTGGAAAATGAAGACAGAACTTTAAATCAGTGCCCACTTGATTAGACAGGAAAATATGCAAAGAAAATTGAGCCTGGTGGCAATAAATTGCACAGGTAATGAAATGTCTGAACCTGATGATTTGCAGTCCATTATCTTGTGGGCGTTTCATATCATACGAATGGGCGTGATGTTTAAAGATATTTTAACAACCCTATTGAAATTATATTGTGATGTTCCCCTAATGATTTCCGTCTGCAACCCCATGCTATTATTTTAACACCCTTGTTAAGAAATAATAAACGGGCGCTATCCGTTTCACATGATAGCCTCGCTTTTGTTTACACTACCATCGCAAGGCATCTCTGACATTTGTCTGAAATGACTCGAAGATAGACACTTTCGAGAGCGTCTGTGTTTTCCTGGTTTTCCGGCCGACCGATCGAGATATGAATAATTTTATCATGGAGGACAACTTTGCGTAGCGCAGACGGAATCTAATCGGAATGAAGCGCTTGCGGCGTCGATTTCTGTCGCAAACCGTTTTGACTTTCTTCTTGTTGATAATGCTTTGCTCTTTATTAGTTCTTCTCAAAACTGAGCGCGAGATTAACAGCGATCATCAGCTGCGCGCTTCGGAAGTAAATAATTATTTTATCGACTTCCCTTCGCCGGCTTCGCACAGTTCAATAGACTCAAAAGATGCAGCTGTCTTAAAGAATCTACAACTGGTAACTAACTATCAGGATAAAGGAAAAGGTCTGAAGTCTTTAACCTACTTGAAACAATCGAAAGACAACCACAACGCGCAAAGATACAACAACACGACGACAGACAGGAAATCATTTCTCGACTGCAGCGACGTAAAATCCATTCAAGTCGTGGAGAATATTGGTCGAGGTTATACCAAAACTGTTCAAAAGGGAATTCTCAGAGGCGTCGAAGTCGCACTAAAAAGCGTCCACATTGAAAATGCGGATATTAAAAGCTGTGTTTCAAATCCATCAGCGCCTAGATCAATTGAAGAGTGTTTCATTTTCGCCAAATATAAGCTTGCTAAGGAAATTATTATGCTGCAACAGCTGCGGCATGCAAATATTGTTAAGGTAAGTTAGAACGATCAGTATGAATATTTAATTGGTTTAGTGAACAGCTAATCATAACTTTTTATTTCCCATGTCAGGAAATAGCCATTATTTTTGGATTCCTCTCTCTATTCTATCCTTTTTCTACTGCAAAATATTATTTATCAGAGAGATACAGATTTTAAATGTCTACAGTTCTTATTTCTGCTATGTCAAATTGAAAACCAAACCTTGTTTTTATTTGGAAATGTTCATTATATACAGTTGTTTTAAGGAAAGGTTGGAATTGTATGAGATGTAAATCTTATAATTTACCTGAAGTACCAAGTCGATTGAAAACTTGATTTGGAAATCACGTGAATACGAGATGACTCATATTAAAAGCTCAATTGATCTCTTGATTTTTTTTCTCACCTTTATATCCTCTTAAACGGCTTAGGAATGTGCTACATATATAAGATAACAGCTTTAAAATATACCACTTAAAATTCCTCGAGCTATACTTAGGTAAGGCGAACAGATGATGACTCCTCAGTGGCCCAGAGTCGATGAAGATAAACTTCTCAAAGTTTGTTTGAGTGAATAAAGAACATGAAGGTATTAGGTTTGCTAATATTTCCAAGGTGGCTGCAAAAACAGGCAGCTGTCTTGTGTCAAAATCAAAATCGGGTCGTGAAAAGTCAAGAGATTATTTCCTTCCGAAGTGTCACATCGGAGCAGCTGAGATCTATCTGGTGAAAGTTGATTATGATTTAAAGATAAAACCAAACAAGGAGATACAGACGCTTTTGAATTAACACGCAGAGTTTAGCTCCTATTTTAGGCCACAAGGTAAACAGGAAAATTCTAAGCGCAAAAAGGACATAACAGACAACTTAACATTCCTACAAAAAATAACGAAAAATGACGTCTCCCAGTTCGGTGAAAAGGCAACATCCGACCTGGGTTTTCTGCTCACGGAATAGAGCAAAATAAAAGTATAAGAAAAGAGCTTCAAACGCACAGTTAGGGGGGGATCTCGTTTCGGTTGATCGGATGACAAATAAAACATCAGGATGTAAGGAACATATCAGGCTTAATTCAATATCTTCTTTAGTAGCCATAAGCACGTAAAAAAAAAACAATAACGCTGACTGAGCAGGAATGTAATCTTCGTCCTAGTATTGAGGTTTGTTCTACAGTATTTTTTTTTCTCTAGCTTTTAGGTTTCTGTTGGCAAAATGAGTTAAACACAGCCGATCTCAAAAGTCGTGGCCTCACTATGGTAACAGAGATCGGTACAGAACTGAACGTCCTCACACTGGTGCAGTTACCATGGCAGGAACGATTTAGGGTAGGGAAAGATTTTTTTATTGGTTACAAAAGTTGATACTTCATAGCTATGATGCAATAAATGGAAAAAAGAGCATAGAAAGAAAATCTGAGCCGTTTCGCGATTTATCTGTCACGATATCTGAGGAAGTATTCTTCGTGCAACATGCAAAATTATCTTCAGCTTGAAGCGGACTACATCCTATTAATTCGATTAAAATCAAAACGGCCAATCAGAACAAAGATACCCATCATCACCAGCCAATCAGAACTTCAAGTAAAAACGGAGCAGGCTAATTTCTTGAGGCGCGGAAAACTGCAAGTCGCAATCGGCTTTGAACTGCAAATTTTTTCCATGTATTTTGCTCCGACGGATCTGAACTGTGATCACTACTGTACATACTGGAAAGATAAATTAGCTCTGCGCGCTATCCCGTACGAACTTCTTACATTGGTTGATCAGTAACGTAGGTTCCCTCTGTGCTATCAAATATTTTGCTGAGTACCAATAACAATGCTTATTATGGCATATCCTTCTTCTTTCATCAGATTTGTCTTGGCCTCGCCAGGTTACTGCACTACTTGGCCCATTCTCCTCTCGGACCGCTCTTCATCCGGGACTTCAAGCTATCGCAGTTTATCTTGGTCAGCGGTGAGGTTAAACTGACGGATTTTGACGATGTCGACAACGAAGAACCCAGATGCTTAGCGGACAGGGATTGTGTCGTCAGAGGGGTTGCAAAAAATAAGACTTTAAAGTGTGTCAGTGGAAGATGTCAAGGGGTGGTTGCTGCTACAAATTTAGATAATGCCTGCCGGAATGTTATTAGTCACGTTCTTGTACCGGGAGCTCCGAAAAAATTACGAGGCCATTTGAAGGAAGTCAAACAGAATCTTCAGAGACTAATCTGGAACACTGACACGTTTGTTTGGCATCTGGAAAGAGTTCTCAACCTTCTACACGCTGGGAAACACCGAGGTAAAAATTATTCACGAGGAATAAAACAACGCGGTGGTAATCTCCCTACAAGCTACCGCGGAGTTTTCTGTTGTGGATATGGCTGTGCTCCATTATCTGTTGCGTGTATCAAACCGGCAAAAACTTGTGAAAATCAGAATCTTGTGGAGAGGGTCTCGTCTTTCTCTAGCGCTCAAACTAATTGAGAAGGAAACCTTAGGGTATACCTTGTGATCTTCGATTTTGAGAAATACCTCTCGAACCTCGTTTACATTTACTTTTCATATTGATTTACAATCTTTTTGTTTAGAACCGTACACAAGGCCGTTAAACTTGTACAAGAAGATCGTAAAAGCCGACTTTCCCACCTTGCATGACTATCACTGTTCAAACACACGTTTGTCTGGTGCCTGTGAACTGGCAGTATATGACATCGCTGAGGCCAAGTACGAGTGTGACATGGATGAGGAGTGTATGGCTTTCGTTTCGACGGAAACGAAATTGTGGACGGGTAAGATCCCCCGAAGCAGTTGAGCATCTTTAGATTCAGAGTCAAAAACACAATTCGACAGGCATTGCTGAGGAAATGGTTTTGCTTCACAACGCTATTCATTTAGCTGACCGCGCATGCTACAAGCCTAACCAATCAGATGCAAGCCCTAAGGCCAATCAAACAGCGTAGCCCCGCGTTTCACCGCGGTTCAGACAGTTTGCTTTTTTTCCACTTTAAGCCCCTTGAAATATTTTCTGATTGTTAATTGGGATTTCGTTGGTTCTACGACACCCAATCGAAATGTAGGTAATGTAATCGTTAATTTCTAGTATTAATGAAAATTCCTCTTTTTTACGCATTTTGTCTCAAGGTTTCTTCATCGTACACTTAAAAAGCAACACCACACACGTCCAACCAAACGAAGACACTACAGTCTACATTAAACAGCCCACGTGAACGCGATGACCGTGTTATTGGAAGCAAAGTACTCCATTGAGCCACGGACACGGAGTTCATCATGGCTACACCTTCAGAAGCCTGCGTGAATTACACGGAAACAGACAGACATAGAAAGAATGGCTTGAAAGCACGGTTTACTTTCAAACCTCCACAATTGGAGGTAGTAACGTATGCAACAGCTTGACCATAGTGATATACAAAGTGACTTAAACGCATGACTTTCGAAGCAAAGCAGATCCAACGAAGACATTGCAAATTTTTGGCTCATAACAGGCATACAGGCCGAATGTTTGATGTCAATGGAGTAAAAGGAAAATTGGAGACCGCTAACCGTGTCATGAAGCAGAACTCTAGCTTTGATTTGCATCAAGCGAACTACGGCTGTCAACTTTGCCAGCTCTAGATCTGACACTGCAAGATCGAATGCTACCTTAAGTGTTTAAGTCAGCTTCTCTTGAATAGAAAGCCTCAGTTTGTCGGAGCATATTTTGACGAGACGCAGTTTTCAACTCGTGTAACTCTTCTAAACACCAGCAACCAAATCACGAGCAAATTTTGCAACACTCCAACTAAAACCCCTTTCTAGAGGGAAACTGTTTTTTTTTCTTTAAACACCTTTACTTGGCCAATCGTGTTTCGTTTTACGCTTCCTTCAAGATGGCGCGCATTTTGTTCTGTCTTGATTAACTTTTAGCTCCCAAGAATATTTCGCCCTTTTTCGCGAACAAATCTTCACCGCATAAACCATCGCATATTTGAAAATACTTTACCAATTTTCCTCGCTGAAGGTTCCCTGTTGGAGGAGAGAAATGGACGTCAAGTTGATTACTTCAAAATTTTCTCCATTGACTGCAATGAGCGCGAAAGTCTGAGCTTGCTGAAAAACTGAATTCAAAGATCTTTCTGTTGCTGACTCAACGAGAACAGGGTGAAACAAAAGTACACGAGCAAAACAATTTCTAAGGTGTTTGCTGGGGAATAAACATAACAGACCACTTTCCATTGTGCAGCCTTTAACATGTTCAAAATTAAATAAACACAATATTTTCAAACGTTATAAAATATCATCTGCAGTGGAGTCCCTTCGTGACAAAATGTGAAGGAATTGAGGAATAAGTACCATTATGTTCTATTGATTCTTTTTAAGGGCTGCATTCAGTATATTATCAACACGAAATAAGTAAAGATAAGTTACCCATGTTATCGAATTGGTAAAAGCTTACGTTTACAGAGTTACTGTTGCATGGTAATCCTTTATTTGGACAGCGTCCACCGTTTAAAACGTCAAGTTTTCAATGAGTGTCGAAAGTAAGCCAGGATCACATTGGTTTTGCATTGCCGCGCTCCGTTTGGTCGAGAAAATCAGCGTTATATACCCCTAAGCTAATCAGATGCAAACTGGTCGCCGCGTTTTCCCGCCCTTTTAGCAGTTTGCTAGTCTTTCCTTTGAGCTCCCATTGGCTAATAATATAGTCAAGTTCGTTATGATTGGCCGTTGCGACCAATAGGTTTTTGGCATTTCGACATTCAATTGAAAACTTCTCTAAACTGCGTGTTGATAGCTGATTTCAAGTTCCATTTGCAAGCCGAAGATGTGTTACAACAACTTGCTTAGAAACGAAACGGAATAACTTCATATCAAGAGAATATCAGTTTATATTCTCTGCTGCATCACGAGGGTTGAAATCCCTTTATCTGAATTCTGTTTGAAATGAAGTATTTGCCGAAGTTATTCGCTATTGTGTCACCGTAGAAGTCTGTGCTGCTGAACTGAGGCCATTTTCAAAAGGATTGCATTGTGCAATGGTTCATCTCCAAGATAAACTAAAGATTTCGCTATAGAAGGTTTGCTATAAAAGCCTTTATCCGTGGTCCACTGCTCAGAATTTGAAAGTTTAAAACTTATGTCATGTGTGTTATCACGGAAGTGAAGCGCGATTACCCGCGCGTGACGACCTTTCTTATAGAGACGAAAGGCAAAAAAATTGGGACTTAGAACTACAACCACTAAATGTCAAGGAAACCTGCACCCTGTCATTTTCCCTAGCCCGTGGAGCACGTACGTGCGGAAAACCCGAGCAAGATATGCTATTCCTTTTCCATTATCTGTGTAGCCCTTTAAGCATGTAACCCATTGCACCTTTCGCGCGGGGACGTTTTTTCTATCCTAGCGCCCAGATTCTGTACTACAATTTTCAGCCCGGCCGCCCACTTTACGCGCGATTGGCCAAAAAAAAAAAAAGCCTACTGTTACCTTGATAGTATTATACCTAAAGTTCCATTGGCTAGGATTTCCTTATAGGCAATAGGTGTGCTTCTGTATTAAATACAAACTTATCAAGAGGCACCATGTCCACATCACTAAATAATAGGAATAAATACTTTAGAGTCTCCCCAAGGAAGAAACTTTCCATTTTGTCTCTGAATCCCAACTTTGTGTCTTTGACACTGTTCAACGACGAATATCCTCCAGTGCTTATCTTGGCATGTTGCTCGATGGCTTGGAATATGGACCAGCCATAATCCTGGTATTTCTTGTCTTTCGTTAGACGATAGAGAATAAATAATGATTCTACAGTTTCTGGTCGCAGCAAACAGTGGGCATCTAATGGCTGGAAAATGTTAAAAAAAAACACTCTTAAAGTGATGCTCCGATGATGTTCCAGCACCTAGAACAACTTGATGAACTCAGATGAAAGATATCTTTACTTTTTCACTAACAACCTCACTGTAGAATTGTGTCAAGAACAGTCACGTTGCGTATTAATTTGTCACGAGTTAATAGGTTTTGTTTGTATACGACGTTATTGTTTTTAACTTTTTTACATTATTATCAAATAACCTGTTTAAATACGTGATTTTCGGACACGTGTGGTTCACCTGATTTGCGAGTTACGAGTTGCGAGTTGTAAGTATTTTCGATTCGATTAAGCAATAAATTTATTCGATCAGTACACTATTGTCGAGTTTATGTAATTAACATTTTAACTTTTCACCTCCAAGAGCCATCAAAAACCCCAATCACATTCTCTAAGAATTAATTCTTTCCCAGAGAAAAAGGATGCCATGTGAACCGGAACGCAGCCATAGTTACATTCTTCTTGTTTACAGTGCACATGTGCGTGACCTTCGGGTAGCGTTATATGACAAGTGATATTGAAGATGAACATGGCAATGACGTCAATCGTTTTGCCTTAATAACTTCAGAAAGGGTGTAGTTATGGGAAATTTCTACGCTTTTGTCTTCAGAGTTGACGAACCATCGAGATATCGAGACATAAAGAGTGATTTAAACTATGAGCACTGAACAGAAACTAAGATTTGAGAGTGACTAGTGTTGTATCCGTGTTACCAACTGCAGTACACGGTTGACAAGCTTACCCTAACTTGAATATCTTCGTGTTTGGAAGGCCCCTGGTTAAAGTAAACCAGTTCAGCACTCAATCCAGTCGGCATACGTTTATACATCTGAACACATGTCTCCAACAGATCCTTTGCAAATTGTTCGTATTTTTTGTCCAGGCCATTCTGGACAGCTAACATTAATGTTCCTGGCAGAAAACACACCAAATGGTCCTGCAAGCAAAGAAATTAGATTTCTTAAGGAGGACAATGAGAGCTTTTAGCAAGGTATTATACATTGAAGATGTACATTTAGGGACCAGTGGCTTTTTATTGCCGGGGGGAAGGGGGGGTTAGAGGATCTAGGGAGAATGAAGGGAGGATCAGTTGTTGTCAACAGAGTACAAGGTGGAAGGGAGTTTAAAAAATTGACTGCCAAGTGACTGCTTATGAAGGGGTAGGGGAGGGGGGGGGGAAATTAAGAATGGTCACATAAGAAATGGTCACGGTTAACTCTCAACATGTTATCTTTTCATCTCCACATTTCATGTTAACTGAACATTTAGTAAGATTCATTTACCATGACATAAATTTGCATTTTGCTGCTGTCCAAAATGAAATGGGGAAATATTGATGCCCAAAAATTATATGATATTTGAAAATCAACATTCATTAATGAGATGTGTAGAACATTTGCCTGACGCAACAGATGAACCACAGTATGATTGTAAATTAAGCTAGGAGGTATGCCACAGATTGGTAAATAAAGTACACCATTTAATGATTGGTGATCAGGAATGCTGCAGAAGTGAGAGTGCTTGCCTCTCCAATACCACATGGGTTGAGGTTGTTTTTGGTTTCCTAATTTTCTTTCCTCCACTAAGAAAAAAATCTCTGAATTCCAAATGAAGCATATTACGGTGGACAAGGATCAACTTTATGGAAGCATCAGTGTTAAATTATCACTATCATCATCATTACAACTATTATCATCACCATTAAAAATCATTATTTTTATTATCATCATCATCATTATCATTATCATTATTATTATTATCATTATTGTTAAACTTCTTACTATTATTTCATACATACCATCTTAGGGCTGAATGTTGAGCCATGTAGAAGTTCACCAATGTAAACCAGCTTGCTTGGTTCCGATTCTCTCCTCAAAAGAGACATGACTCCATCCATGGACTCTACGAAGTCATCTCGAAGCCTGGCAAGGAAAAAAAAATTTCAACTACTGAACCCAACCTTCCTTCCTACACAGAAGGTAGTGAGACAACAATACACTTGTGGTTGACTCTTGCTAATCTCTAAACACACTTTCAGCGGTTTGCTAGAGATCTTCAAACAGCTACATGTTCCTTGCAAACTACATAATGATAATTAAATGATGTATCAAGAAAATATCCAAAAAAGGAATATTTGCTAAACTTTTTATTAATTATCTCAGTTAGTACAGGCACTATAATAACTAAAGTCAATTTAGCAGGCTATATTTCACTGTGCAGTCCCTAAATTCAAAAGTTTGTTTGAATTGAAATTTCCCCCATTAGAGACATAAATTCGAGCAAACAAATCTTGGTCTGCAGACTTCAAACTAACGATTACTACAAGGAATTTGATTTGTGCCTCTCTATCCAGCTTAGATAAATGCTAAAAATTTGAAAACAAATTCTGCAGATTTTCTCTCCCTCATTTTTGTTCATATCTCACCCTGCAGTTTTTGCATACCTGCTCCCTTGTTCCCTCTAACTGAGAGCGTGGCATAGGCTAGAGGAACTGTAAGGGTGTGATAAAGGTAGCCAAGTCTTTCAAATTTTAACCAAACAAAAACAAAACACCCATAAAAACAAGCAAAAAGACAAACACAAACATGAAAGAAAACAAGATTATTATACCAAGCCCAACAGAGTGTAAGACTGTGTATATGCATTCTCTCACCAATTTTCTGTTTTCCCACTCTGTAGCCACTGCTTCAGAAGATACTCATAGTAACTGTCACCCCGAGCACCCAAGGTAATTGTTGAACCAGGTCGGAACTTGCCTGTATCTGCATTCACAAAGATTGGTACTAAGCCTGCCCGCTTTGGAAGGGCATGAATGTGACTCATTACTGTATCTACTGCACTCTGTAAAAAGGAAAAAATAATTAACCTACATTTGCCACCAAAGAGGGCACACCTTTCTTAAATAAAAAAAAAACAAACAAAACAAATCTTTACATAATTCAAATTCTAAAAATATAAGGAATCAATTGACAAAGACCTTAAATCAATAAATACAGTGTATACAGTATATAGTTACCCAAAAATACTTTTAAAAAAGAGAATAATTTTAGATTCTGATTACCAAATGTTAGTAGTTTAAAATAAACATTCTTTTCCTGGTTCTGATTTTTTCTGCCAAGTTTTTATGCAAAAAGTTAACTACATTGACAACAAAAGGCTACTAGTAATGTCAAGAGGAATATTATTTCTTTTCCTATTAGAAATAGAATTCTGGCAAAACTTATATGGCAATATTAAGAATTTCAACCAAAATATTTATTACATTACAATTCTAACATTTCCTCTCATATAAAAATTACATCACCTACATTGCAATAGTACTTGAATAATTGACAGTACAACAGTAAAATACCTTGCAACAAAAAAATGTTATCAATTGCAACATGTTGAACATGAATAATACTGTATTTCCCTGCGACACATATTCTAGATACCTTGTATTTTGCATCCCCAGTGGTATAACTGAGATCTCGGAACTCCAGCTGTATGGTGGTAACCTCAGACACTGAGCTGTCTGGACCCCAGCGAGGAGGGTGAGCTGTACGAGTCAGCAGATTCACATCGGAATATGGAATGTTTGATCGCGAGTGAAAGGCTGGCAGGAGGCGATCCCCCAAATCAATCTGACACAAGAGATAAAATTGTTAGCATTTGCTTAAGCTACATTGATTAAATACAATGATAGTAAGCTATATGCGGCAAATAAATGTTTGTTGAATAGCAAAAAAAAAAAAAAATGAAAACAGTTAGGAGGGTTTACCCTTTCACTCCCAAGATCTAATTAGTAATTCTCCTTACTATCTGCCATACAATTCGTATGATGTTAGTACAGAGAATTTGGTATTGGATCAGCTGATAATCCCATAATTGATATTCTTCTCTATTCTCATCACCTACCTGCTTGATATTGTATTGATATTGTAAGGAGAAATTCTGTCTTGGTCACTTGTGGGAGTGAAAGGGTTTGTAAATTAATGGTAATGGTGTGAGAACATTAATGAAAAACTCTGAGTTCCTCATCAGCATCAGAAATGATGTAAATGAAATGACAAGAAATAGAAGTAGCTTAGCACTAGTGAAGATCTAACATTTAGCTGAAACACAAACGTGAAACATATGGCTGAACCATTCTATATGTGAATAATAAGTAAGTGCGTCAAAAAGCTGATTAGTATTTGATGTTTGGAATGAAGGTCAGGCATTGGAAAAATATTTATGCTACAATATAACTTATCTGCTAATCCTTCCAAAGATATTTCTTTTCATCATTACTTCTTACCGCTTTTCTCAAAAACAGGTCATCTCGTGACAAATGGTATGCACTCAGGAGTCCTCCAAGAACACGGATTGTTGTCTCAAACAAATTCACATCAACATTTTTCTCAAAGGTCAAGCTGTTGGCTACCCATTCACGAGCCTGTTGAAACTCTTCACGCAGGTTCATTAACAACATGGTATCTAGTGAATCAATAATTGTCAGTCCAATACCAAACCATTCGCTATGCGATCTGGAAATAGGACGCAATTCATCATGACCCCATGCATATTTTTTATAACCCTCCCAGGCATGTCTGAATGCTTCTACAACCTTCTTTTGACGCTGACTTTGTTTATCTAATGGCAGTATGTTAACTCCATTTATGTTCAGAGCAAAATTCTCATTATTTTCTACAGCTACAGGATTTGCTTCACCATCGCCAGCAGTGTCTGCTCCAACATCACTGGGCAGCTTATCCTCAGTATGTACACCTGTATCACCATGAATCTCCCCCTGATTTTTATCTTCATTTGAATTTAGGTTTTTGTTATCATCTACATTGTCATCAATTGGTTTATCCCTATTTCCCAACTTTGGAGGCCCTTTCTTTATTATCAGGGCATGTTGCTTCCTGAGTTCTTCCAGTTCTTTCAAATTATTTTCAATAATTTCCTGTTTATTTACTCTGTTAAACTTTGGAGAATGTTCCTCAGAAATCTTGTGACCTTGATGACCTACAGTTTCATCCATATTGTCAGTTTCAAAGTTTTGCCACATTAGTCCTTTACGCCACAACAAAAAAGTGACACAACCAAGAATACACAGCAGGAAAATGAGCGATCTTTGAAAAGAAGACATGGCTCGCCACTTCTGCAGTAAAAAATAACAATAAATAACACATTTAGTTTAACGATGTAAACAGTATTAAAAATGTAAACAAATTTCGATTCAGTTACGCAAAGATGAAATTCAATAGCCATTAAATTTATTTATCCATAAGTCTTTATAATACAGTAGATTGTGACGAAATTCATGTAACTGTGTCTCTTTGAAAATTTATGCACACGTTTTAACCTTCATTCCTTTCCGCTGCGATGCCCTGCAGCGTTCTACTAATCCAGTTCCGCGTATTTAATAGTTTATGGTCTTTGTTTTCACAAGATGGAACGCTCTTACTCCACTCGAAAGTACGAACACCAACAATCGGCTACACAAGTGCCACACATTGTCGGTCTCTTACCCTGTACAGTGAGGTATGTCGACGTCCCTTGCTGTTGTCATCATTTTTGTCGTCATTATTCCGCGGCATGGAAACTGAGATAAAATCTCTCGATCCCTCTCGCTGAATGGAGCTCATATTTCAAGGAACGGTGTGGAAAAATACGGGACAAAGAAAAGTTTTCCTGAAGAGGGTTTAATTAGATACTTTTCCGCTTACTCATGATCAAAGATTTCATTAATAACACCGATTGTCCGCCATTTTAACATAATATTTTTGCTCCCAGGCTCCTAGGCCAAAATTATTCGTCAAAAAGACTGGTTCCGTAATTTTGTGGAGAAGCCCAAGAGAACTACAGTTTGATAAGGAAGGAGGACACCAAAAAAAGAGGGAAAGAAATGCTATCGATGCTTTTTTACTATTTTTCCAGATCACTCGCTTCTAGATATCTGAGATTTATATTTGAGAAGTAAACAAGCTTACGAATTCATGAACTCGTGAGGTTGTATGACTCATCAAACAATCGCTTACTAGACAGAAGTTATGACGTGTCATTATAAAAATTGTCACCCCCCGACTGAAAATGGCTACAAACGTTATAAGCTCAATCAAATAGAACCAACACAGTCCGGTATAAACAAGCTCCTCGAAATTCGTCAACACATTGAAGTCACAGGCTCTTCAGAAACCCCAGAATTTTCAAACTTGATATTAACCGTGACAGTAATATGTATGAATGTTTATATGCGCGCTCCGTGAAATCAGGGTCAAGTTGTCACTTTGATATAACAAACAACGCAAATGGTTTCTTTAGAAGGTATCATCAGTCTATTTTGTTAATAAGCTTTCTCTTATAGCGCTAGTCCTTCCAGCTGAAAAAATATGCGAATGTTATTTCGAAATGTACAGCGCTGAAGTTTCGAACTTTCGTTTGCATCGGAAAAGGACGGATATCAGGATTATTTTGATTGGACTTTGCTTCAAAGCCTAAATGTAAACGCGCTTCGAAACGTAATTGGGTATGCATTCACGCGAAAAATCTCCTTTGAAAAATCAAGACACCTTACTGAAACAAAGTGTTCTTCATCTTATGTAGCTGTTTGTGTTTTCCTCATTTTGTTAACTGTACAATTTTATGGTCATTATTCCACGATGATGAATTTCTTTCAAGCCACGCTGTTGGGTTTGTTAAGGTGGTCTTCCACTCAAAAATTTGTATTTTTTGTCAAAAAACTTTCATTTTGAAAATGGTGCTTTTTGGTATCTTTAACCATTACTCTTTCATTCTACAGCTTCCTTTTTTCCATATTCAGGAGGTAAAGTCAAAAATTTTGCTAAATTCCTTAGCGAGTATGAATTTTCACCTTAGCAACGACCATAGCAACGGTTTGTTTATGAAAACAAAACGCAGTTGCAGTCAAAAGGAAACGACGGAATTTCTCCTGGGACCCCTCCTGGTTATTCCCGTTGTTTATTGACATTTCAATCAGGCATACATGCAGTGAGTTACGAGCACCCAAAATGGCGGATGATATGTGGCGACACTATTTCCCAACTTATCATCCACCATTTTGGTCGTATTCGTTCACTCTATTCCTATTGCGATTTTGCTTGATAATTTATTTATCAATGCCACCAAAGGCTCGTTCTGGTTACACAAAAAGCGTAAATATCGTGGAAACCAGTACTCTACTGAATCGAAGCGTTCGAAGAAGGAAAAACGAGTGTCAGCACCAAAGGTCTTGGGAAAGAATGTTCAGCTTCTGCCCGCAAGATTCCAGCAGGTCTGACCACCGCATCTTCTGAGGGTATCAAGGAGTGTAAGGAGTCAATCATAAGTGGATTTCGGTTTGTAGATATGAGAATTTTGTCTTCTGTGATGGAATGTATGCCATGCAAAGAATGCTTTGTTTGTGATTTAATTTTACAAGAGCAAGCTATGAAACGCAAAGGTTGTGCCTCGAATCTTCGTTTGCTTTGCTGCTCGTGTGGTTGGTCTATGGAATTCTTTACTTCAGCTCAAATAGGCCGTTTCTTTGAAGTAAACAGAAGATTTGTGTATGCTTCAAGATCTGTTGGTTGTGGACGTGCGGCAGGTAAGAGGTTTTGTGGACTTATGAACATGCCGCCACCTCCTAGACCTACACCATATGCTCGCCATAATAAAGAAATACTCCGAGCAGTAAAGAAGATCTCACTGGAGACAATGCGTGATACTGCAAGAGAGATTCACGATATCAAGCCAGGTTCAGATGAGGGCATAGCAAGATGTGGAGTGTCTGTTGATGGAACATGGCAGAGAAGAGGCTTTTCTTCTTTAAATGGCTGTGTGAGTGCTATTAGCATGGATACAGGGAAAGTGGTAGATGTTGAGCCCCTAAGCAAAGTTTGTATCAAGTGCAGGGAGCATGAAAATGATCCTGACACCCCAGAAACTACTGCATGGAGAGCAGACCACAGAGCCTCTTGCAAGGCAAACTTTAAGGGTTCAGCACCAGCTATGGAACCAGAAGGCACCCTTCGAATGTTTCAAAGGTCAGTAGATCTGCATAAGCTGCAGTATGATGAATATTATGGCGATGGTGACAGCAAAAGTTACTCATTAGTCAAAGATGTATACCAAGTCTATGATATTGAAGTTCAAAAGAAGGAATGTGTTGGCCATGTTCAAAAACGACTGGGAACAGCTTTACGAAAGTTAAAGAAGGAAAAGAAAGGGATGGGTGGGAAAGGCAGGCTGACAGATGCCATGATTGACAGACTGCAAAATTACTATGGAATTGCCATTCAAGCAACTCAGGTGATCTTGCTGCCATGAAGAAGGCAATTTATGCCAGCTTGTTTCACTGTGCTTCTTCTGCAGACAGTAATTACCATGGGCATTGCCCTGAGGGTCCTGAAAGCTGGTGTGGTTTTCAGCGGGACAAGGTCAATAGGACAAACACTTTCAAACATGGAACTGGCCTACCTTTAGATGTCAGAGAGGAAATCAAACCCATTTATAAAAGGTTGAGTGAGGACAGCCTTCTCAGCAAATGTCTTGATGGCAAGACTCAAAACCAGAATGAGTCACTCAATGGTATGGTTTGGGGCGTGTGCCAAAGGGGGTGTTTGTTGGTTCTGAAGTACTGCAGCTGGGGGTTTATGATGCTGTCGCTCACTTTAATATTGGTTCAAGAGCAGCTATTAAAGTGTTTGAGAGTCTTGGAATTCCCCAGGTGAATTCTGTATAAATGAATGCCAGCAGTTGGACAAGATTCGTGTTTTGAAAGCTGAATACAAGTTCCAAGAGAAGAACAAGACAAGGAGGAGGCTACTCAGGGAAAAAAAAAAAAAAAAATGACAAATCCCAGGAAAAGGAGGGTGACATATATGCACCTGGTGCATTTTAATGAGAACATCAAAGAGCTTAGCTTAAACTTTCCAAAAGGCACCAGTTGCTTTAGTGATTATTTTGATTGATCAACTTAAATCTTTAAACTTGATTTTCTCAGTTTTGCAATTTTGAGAGAGTGCCCGTCACGGCAAAAAAGGATTTCTTGAAAAGTATTAAACCAAAAGGGATGAAATTTTCAGGGAGGTTTGCTTGAGTATAGTTCTGTGTTGTGAACCTAAAATTATTAGTGATTTTTAGTTACATGGTTGTTGACAGATGTATCCATGGTGATAATACAAACAAAAAATGTTGTAATCAAGGAACAGTTGCAATTTTATAATAGCTTGGCATAAAAAATATGGGTTTTCTGAGGTTCATGACATAAAAAGCCATCTTTGTACTTAGTTTTGATACCAATTTCAGGTGAATAGGACCGCTAGTTCTTGAGATATCCTTTTACAAGAACACCATTATTTTCACAGTTGGGGCCCAAAACTTGGTTACCATGGCAACGACATGTCTATCAAAATTCTTAAAAGTATCAGTTTGAGGTGATCTCTCCAATGGTACTTAAATAACTTAGGTAAAGCATAAACTGAATTTTTTTAAAATTTGAGTGGAAGACCACCTTAATAGCGGTGTTGGTAAACTTACAACTGACTACGAAACTAACAAGCCCGAAGCAGTGTAACATCAACAACAATTATAACAGCTTCTATGCCGGTACCTAAGTGCGAAAAACTGGAGCAAATGTTTGTGCAAATGAAACAAGAATTAGCCGGACTGAATACAAGAAATAAAAAACATTCAGGGAATCCTAACTGGATTCCTTGTTCATGATGGAGAGGGTTAGCCACTTTTTTAGATTGGTTCTGCTGAGCAATTACTGTGAAGTCTCCGTAGCTAGGTAAATATGGTAACATATCAAACTCATGGGGTACAAATAGTCTTAACATGAATGTAGTGACCACGCCCACTTCAACACCCCACTCAAATCGAGTGTAATTTTCGAATGTTTTACCATCGTGCGGATTCTCTACGGAAAAAGCGCTCAATGTACCTCTGAAATATTAAACTATAATATTGTGGCTTTCTATTTCGCTAATTTTCTAACTTGAAGGTAAAGTTTTTCCCTCGTCATTTTTACCTTTTCTTCGAGCGGTTGCGTGAAATTAACAAGGCGTTTTTGATCAAAACACGACCGAGCGAAGGGTCTCGGGCGATATCTCTTTTACGCAGGCGAAAATTACAAATGTACCGCCAGAATCAAAAAGAAGAACAAATTTCCTTTGTTTTGATATGTAAAGTGTCGGGCAAAAAGCAGATTTACCCTCGTCAAATGGCGTTTCAAAACAGCTGTATCTTCCTCCTTTTGATTTTTTCCTGTTTTGTAAAGCGTGAAAGCAGTAGGAGAGGGATTGAGAAACTCAGAAAGCGCTTCGGGAATTAACCTGCCATCGTTTACTTACAAGATAAACAAGTAAGATTTGTGAAGTTCGCTGAAGTATGAAGTCTAAATAAAAGCCTTTTTTAAGCTTGTTTGCTGGATTTTTCGTAAACTTCCCTGATTAATTTTTCGTTTCAGCTTACTAATCTATACTATTTCAAAGCAATGTAAAGACGAAGACGGAGAACCATGAGTCGGTCCTTTCAACAATCGTAAACAAAGTGTTTGAGCAATCGGGTATACGAGGTGTAATAATCAATAGCCGCATATCAGAAGTCTTCAGAAAGAAAGTAACTGTCTTCAGAAAGCTGTCAA